TATATATATATATAAATAATTTAAGTATGACACTTGCATTTGCTGATGCTTACTCCAACCCAAATAGAAGCTCTCTGCGCCCATTATGTTATCTCCTTTAACTTATAAAGTATTACACATTGTATTTTGTACACCATGTTTCAATCAGGTTATTTAAATGAACAAGTGATATGATTTGCAATGCATTCTGGGATTTGTATTTTTCAGTCACTGAGGGGACCATGATCAGCGTTATAAACCTGCAAGCATACTGTTCAGTGCCTTTATTTGATATGCATTCCATGATGCACTGCTTGGCTGGATAAAAGAGCAAAGTCAGACAAGTGAACTACAGTATTTTGATTGCCAAAAATGTAAATTGTGTAAATTATTAAAACAAAAGATAAATGTTATACTGAAATGGAGAGTAATCTTCTGTATTGTAAATTGCTGCTGCAGATCCACTGTTTACTGGTATCTTTATGGATGGCAAAGAGTGCATAGCACAAACACTAATCACACTCAGAACTGAAAGCACAGCATACCCCGAAGTCCCTACATTGTTTGTACATAATCTGGAGGACACATCCACTAGTTCCTTAGAGGGTGTTTCAGAAAACCTTCAACTTGTAGCAAACATTATTAAAATTCCTATAGAGCTATATAAATTATATGAAAATGGAATGCAAAAGAGAAAGCTGCTAACAACGATTAGTAGAGGCGGATATTGGGCATCCGCCATGAAACCATTACCTTGAGTACGTTAATTTTCCAATACTGTGGTTTAGCTTCATATGAAATTATATAACAACCTATGGTTGAAGCAATGCTCAGTTTCATTTGCCAATAAATTGCTTTTTCATAACTTGCATCAAGTTTATTTTAAGTAAGCTTTTGTATGTAGATATTTTGTTCAATTTGTATATATACAGAAAGATTAGATGCTTTATGCTCCTAGATGTTGCAAAGATATAAAGCAGAGGTATGTTTTACTGGGTAAGAAAAGAAAAAAAAATATAGCTTATGGAGTGCATGGTATTTTAAGACATCTTAAATGATATGCATATATTTTGCTGTGAAAAAAACTTAGTGAACCATTATACTTACTGCAGACTTCTTGAACTTGTGCCTGTATGTTATATTTTGTCCATTGTTCCTTTTAGAAATGATAGGAATAAAGCACAAGTTTGGCATCTGTGTATTCACACTCCTAGTCTTTCCTTCACTTACTGTACATTCTGTAACCCATCCACCTGTACAACACAACACGTTATTGTGTGTTGATCGGACCTGAAGAATGAAAAAAGAATTGATACAGATCAAACATTAAAGCACAATAGTACAGAATCTTGGGATATAAAGAGACTTGGAAAGCTTACTAGTGGCTGTGATGGTCGTTTATCAAGGGAAAATCACTGTGACATAATTCTGTGTCGTGTCAATTTATATCGCAACAAAAGATGCCTCGACTTGTCATAGTAACTTGTCTATAGTCATGAAGGAAGTACTAGTCTTCATATTGTGACTCCATTGTGCTTTATAATTGACACAAGAGAGCATGAGAATTGTGCCTTAGTCCTTGATCAATGACCTCCAGGCAAGTAACACATGCTAACACAAAATGTGCATGTTCTGTTTCACCCACAGACTCTCTTGTGTAAAAAAATAAAATTTTGTATATTAATAAATGTATTCCAATTTATTAGCTGTATGTGTCAGTAATTTCAGTCTGCATTTTTTTAACACATGTGAGACATTTGTCCATTTACAGAATAGGCAGTGATGCCACGCAGTGCACAGCAACTGGAAGAAATTAATCATATTTCACCTTCTTTTTTTCTATGTAGAGCAGATAGAACAGGAAAAAAAGATTGAGTTATTGCATTTGCATATTTGCCACAAATGCTTTGAAGTACATGCATTTATTTATTTAGTTTGCATTAGTCCACTATCCTTCATTAACTACAAAGCAAATACGTCACTTTTTCTTTTGAGGTTCTTGCAGCTATAGCTGTATAACTGGCAATGAAAAAACAGATTTTAGTCACTTTTAATTTCAATTTTGCAAACAACAAAAAAACACCCAAGATATATTAGTACAGCTGTTCAATTTCCAGTACATATTTGAATACACTTGAGAATGTGTAAAAGTAGTGAATATATAAGCATTAGTTTTAGTTCCAGAGCACTGAGAGAAGAGAGGTTTTCTTTTTAAACAATCCAGTGTTTAAAAGTAATTTTGGCCAGAAATGTTTCATCCAATGTAAACGTTAAGTAGCTCAGTATGATAATTTTTGTTACAAAAGTGATGTGTCAGGATAGTCACATTCCTCTACAGTGAATATTTCATTAATTATTTTGGTTGCTTTTATTTAAACCTATGACACTGCTGCAGAAATCTGTAGTTAATTGAGGGCAACATTGAACATTGTTCTGCTCCTAAATATGGCAGAGGGTTATTCATCAAAGCCTTGCCCGGAGTGGATTAAAATCCATCTTCAGCTTTATATTTTTTATTTTCAAATCTTTTTCCCTCTTTTTTTTGTGCCTGTGGGTGCTTTTAAAAGTAAAACTTACCTTAGCTACATCTTTGTGACCCTCTCCATGTCCTCCTTCTTCAGTGCTGTGGTCCCACTCAGGGTTGAATGACACCCAGTGTCATTCAACCAGGAAGTGTGAGCAAGGCTGTCATGGACATGCCTCCTAGTCATCAGGATATGGGGTCATGATGGTGCCTATGCTCACTGCAGCAGAAAACATTTACAGAAGGGTGCTCACATTGTAGGATATTCAGAGTGCTCTTGAAACCTGCCAATGCTGGAGCTGACCCAGCATCTTTCTCTACACTGTTATTTCCCCAGATTCTGTAATAGGGAGATAATGCTGTTCATTCTGCAGTGTTGTCATTCTGGACAAGGTAGCCTTAGCTGGACAAGTCGTTTTAAGACAAACAAATGAAAGCCTAACTCCAGCTAACACTTTTTAAGCAGTTAGAAGATGTTTTTCTTTTGGAAAAAAGGTTTGAGCCATATAAATAGGGTGACAATAAGTACCCCCACGAGTGTAATAAGGTTTGTCTAACCCATTTAACTGCTGATATTGCTACACAGCTGCCCTGTTAGAAAAACAAAAACTGCTGTGTTAATGCAGTGATAGACTGCATCATATAGGCTATTTTTTATAGTGCCTTCACTCTCATTTTGCACATATCCTAATCTTGATATATGATTCCCCAGCTAGAGTGCTGGGTGCACATTCGCTTAGAAAACAAGGAAGAGACCATATCACCAAGTGTCCTTAGGGAAGATGATGTCTTGGGAAAGAAGAGGCACTCAGAAAGTTGGTCAGAATACAAGGTAATGTTAGACTCCATTGGAATGCAAGTATAATTTTCGCAATTAATACACATTAACAAATTTTATTGTGCCTTTGTTTAATTGTCATGATTGGGGTTTGTTCTTTAAGATTAGATGGGAATAGATCAATGGACTCAAAAACTGAACTAAGGAAATGTATGTGACTTGGAGGTAGCAATCTATCACATTGCAGTTGCCTATTTTTAAGCTGGATTCACAATTTTACATTGTGGTAACAGACCTTGCATTGATATATGTTTATTGCACTGCCTTGCTGTTCATTATGGATGTCACCCCAACACACATATAGTGGGGGGAAAAATGTGTGCCATAGCACACCACAAGACATAAATGTAATTAATCTGTGCATTTTGAAAAATGCTGAAGGAGCATTTTTTTTTTGCGTAGAGCCCATTCAAAATGGGGTGTATCAGCTTATGTTAGTAATATCCATTACCGGTTAGGTGCTTAACCTTGTGAAAAGGCTTGTGGTATCACACATGGATTTATTTTTGTATTGAAGTGGCACGTTTTAAATTATTTCTGTTGCTATTTAATTACTTAAAAATGAATACAGCACTTGTAGAGGGATGGTGACAAAGGCCTCTCAAAATGTTACTGTAAATAGTGAAACATAATTCCTTCTGACAAAAGCCAAATTGAACTACCCATTCATAAACAGGATTATTCTATAAATCCCAAGTAAAAGAGGGAGATATGAGAATGGAATTATATATGTTTTTAAATATACAGGGTTATTCACAAAATTATGCTTGCCTTCCCATGTAGTCTAACATTACCTTGCATTCTGACCAAGTTTCTGCACTCTAGCTGTGGAATCATATATCTAGATTAGGATATGTGCAAAAGAGTTTGGAGAAGACAGGAGAAGTGACCAATCTAGGACAAAATAGCCCATTTGGAAAAATTATCCAGTTCAGCTCACTTTCCAGTTCAGCTATGTTGTCCTAGATTGTTCACTTCTCCTGCCTTCTCCAAACTCTTCACCTTTTTGTGAATAACCCTGATAGTGTTTAATCAGTGACGGATACAACATACATACAACAATAAACAATCAATAGATTGATCAAAATTAAATGATTTCAAATAATTGATAAAAAAAATATTTCAGTACAGCAGAAAAAATATCTATTTGGTCATGCGCAGTTGAATTTTGCTGCGTTACCAAGTTTGTTTTCAGTGGAAATCATTTATTCATAAAATCAACTACATATTCAATTGATTTCTGAAAAATACAAGTAAAAGGTAAGTAAAGTAAAGGTAAGCAATTAAAGCTTACCTCCAAGCAAACAGCTAAATACACATCATTACTAGCATCTTATAAAAGAAGAAGCTATAATACATGGCACTCAGGTAACACAGGCCAGTGAATAATATCACTTCACTTAGGTATCATTTTGTATAAGAGAGGTAAGTAGACGATAAGTGTATAAAATCAGCAGGGGAAAGGTGCATAAAATAGTAGGGAAAACAAACAAGCAAGTGTTAGGTATAGAGTAAATAAAGAATCAATACATTATTATTGAGGAATCCCCGTTGTTTCTATTGTATTCTGACATACCCGCATG